CCCCATAGTCACCTACGGATGTGAGAGCTGGACCTTAGGTAAGGCTGAGCGAAGGAAGATAGATACTTTTGAACTGTGGTGTTGGAGGAAAGTTCTGAGAGTGCCTTGGACCACCAGAAGATCCAACAATTCCATACTTCAGGAAATAAAGCCCAACTGCTCATTGGAGGGAAGGATAGTAGAGGCAAAGATGAAGTACTTTGGCCACATCATGAGAAGAAAGGAAAGCTTAGAGAAGACAATTATGCTGGGGAAAATGGAAGGAAAAAGGAAGAGGGGCTGACCAAGGGCAAGATGGATGGATAGCATCCTTGAAGTGACTGGATTGACCTTGAAGGAGCTGGGGGTGGTGACAGCCGACAGGGAGCTCTGGCGTGGACGGGTCCATGAGGTCACAAAGAGTCGGAAATGACTGAACAACAAAATTTCTCACTTAGCGGGTGCCTTAAAATTAAACAATGTGTTACCATTTGCAAGAAAATCTCAGTAGGCTTTATCAGAGCAACAACAGATGGGCAAAACTCAATCCTAAAAAACATTTGAAAAAATGAGCATCAAAAATGGTAACAAAATCTATTTTGCCACGTTCCACCGCCTACAAACATGTATTATGGTTAAATTGGTTGCTGTTATCATTCATGTTGGAATCCTTTAATGAAAGCTGGAACACATGAAATTTATTTTCAATATATAATAGAATGTAAATTTACATCACAGTCAGAGAATAGTTGGCATAAGAAAAAGTATAAAAGGGGATACATAGAATTTGCTTGGTTCTAAATACTGTATCTTTCAACTAGGCACTTAAACAAACCCAAGAAAAGCTACTCATAGTTATGCATAAGCTTTAATGCTCCCACTAAAGTGTTTATAAAATACTTCACACTGGCAATATTATCTAGCTCCTGTGTAATTGTCATAACTACTATGGGGAAAAATATTGAGGTTTCATTAACTAGTAAAAAAAACTAGTAGGAGGTGTATCGGCAATAAGCAGCAGAGCCCTCCTTCTTCCTGCATTCTTTTTAAAGAAGACATTGAGCAGCACATTTCTACAAATAGAGGAACATCTTGGCAACCATCACTACAGACTGTCCTGGTTTTGCATAAAGAAATGTGTTGACGAAAGCAAGGCAGCCAAGCCCCTGGGAAGGCCTACCTTGGACAGGTTGAGTATCCTTTATCCAAAAATTTTTAGATTTTTTTTCTTCTGGTTTTGGAATATCTGTATTTGCATATAGATACATAATAATACAGTGCAGATGGGATCCAGATCTGAGCAAGAAATTCATGTATATTTCATATATACCTTATTCATATAGCTTCAGGGCAATTTTATACATGGTATTATAACAATGATCCGCATGAACAAACTTTGTGTACACCAAACCTCCAGAAAGATAAGTTGTCAATAACAGCCACTCATCTGGAAGATTTTGGAGGATTTGGGAGTTATGATTAAGGTGCCTCAACGTTCTGGAAGGATTTCTTTCAAGAAATATGAAATATTAGTAGCCAACAAGTACTAGGTCTGGAACAAATTGAAAATATATTTCTGTTTTGAATACCCAGTTATTAGCTGCCAGACAATTAATAGCACAACAACTGAAACCTGGAAATACATTGAACATCACCTCATGGTAAGCAAGAACATGGGGACTTAGCTGTTTCAAAATTGTCAAGGAACTGAATGATCAATCAGACACAAATAACTGGGTTGCTGTGTGTTTTCCAAGCTGTATAGCCATGTTCCAGAAGCATTATCTCCTGACGTTTCACCCACATCTATGGCAGGCATACCCAGAAGTTGTGAGGTCTATTGGAAACCAGGCAAGTGGGGTTTATATATCTGTGGAATGTCCAGGGTGGGAGATAGAACTCTTGACTGCTTCACCCGTCCACAAAGATGTTGCCCAGGGAATGCCCAGATGTGTCAAGATCCTGCGGGGAGGCTTCTCTCATGTCCCCCTGGCCATACAGAAGATTGAGCGACTTGGAAGCCACTGAACAGACAGTTTGGGAGAAATTAGACCTTGTCATTTGGGAGTTATAGTTGCTGGGATTTATAGTTCACCTACAATCAAAGAGCATTCTGAACCCCACCAATGATGGAATTGAACCAAACGTGGCTCACAGGACTCCCATGACCAACATGGGCATCGATGGGCATTGACCTTGAGTTTGGGAGTTCTAGTTCACCAACATCCTGAGAGCTGTGGACTCAAACAATGAAGGATCCAGTCCAAACTTGGCATGAATATTCTATATGCCCAAATATGCACACAGATGGAGTTTGGCGGAAAATAGACCTTGACATTTGGGAGTTGTAGTTACTGAGATTTATAATTCACCTACAATCAAAGAGCATTCTGAACTTCACCAATGGTGGAATTGAACCAAACATGACACACAGGACTCCCATGACCAACAGAAAACACTAGATGGGTTTGGTGGGAATTGACCTTGAGTTTGGGAGTTGTAGTTCACCTACATCCAAAGAGTACTGTGGACTCAAACAATTATGGATCCAGACCAAACTTGGCACGGATATTGCCCAAATAGGAACATAGGTGGATTTTAGGGGGAAAATAGACCATGATATTTGGGAGTTGTAGTTACTGGGATTTATAATTCACCTACAATCAAAGAACATTCTGAACCCCACTGATGACAGAATTGGGGCAAACGTCCCACACAGAACCCCATGACCAATAGAAAATACTTAAGGTCATCAAATCCAATTCCCTTCACCAGGGCAAGAAAATGAAATCAAAGCCCTCCTGACAAAGAGCCATCCAGCCATAGATATAGATATATATATGATTCTCTCACACACCGATATAGTATCAGAGATTTGAAAGGGACCCCTAAAGAAGGACAATTAGATGTTGCATGTTCCAGAATAGGCAAACCATACAATCTCCACATCAACACTGACAAAGAAACAGCACAAAATATTGCTTACCCACAAGTATAACAAAATTACATATATTAGAAACCAACACGTTCTCATTATTTTATTTTCCAGATCACCAGACTGGGCCACAGCAACATGTGGCAGGGGACGGCTACTATATATACATGGGTAATATACCACAGATTACTATATAATATTACATGGGTAATATACCACAGATTACTATGGACTATGCCGCTCTGAGCAAGAGTGAAGGGGGAGGGGGGCAGGGGACGGTTCCATCTTGTCTCCTGCATATGTCATCAGCTGGGGAACCCTCCCCCCAGCACCAACTGCCACTCTGGGCCAGAGTGAAGAGAGAGGGAGCCAGGGGACAGTTCCACCTTGTCTCATGCATATGTCATGCAAAAGCTCCCCTGTCCACCACCAAGGCCTGGGGTTCCAGGCTCAGCGATTAATCCAGGAGGACTTCCAATCTGCAAACCTGTGTCTTCAGAGAGAGTGTAACTCTGTCCAGCACAAGCTGTAACCTATACCCTGTTCGGCCTTAGGACTAACCAGGAATGCCTCGTCTGGATTCAGATTCAATTTGTGTGTCCTCATCCAGACGCTCCCAGCTGCCAAACACCAGTTCAGGACCTGAACAGCCTCCTTAGAAGTTGGTGGAAAGGAGTAATAGAGTTGAACATCATCTGCGTACAGATGACATCAAACTCCCAAACTCTGGATGATCACTCCCAACAGCTTCAGGTATATATTAAACAACATGGGAGTCAATACTGAGCCCTGCGGGACCCCACAAGACAAAAGCTGTGGGGCCGAGCAAGTGCCCTCCAACAATGATATTGCATGGGTAATACACTACAGATTACTATATGGTATTACATAGGTAATATACTACAGAATACTATATAATATTACATGGTTAATATACTACATATTATTATATAATATTACATGAGTAATACACTACAGATTACTATATAATATGGCATGGGTAATATACTACATATTAATATATACTATTGCATGGGTATATTATACTACAGATTACTATATGATATTTCATAGGTAATACACTACATATTACTATATAATATTACATGGGTAATATACTACACAGTACTATATAATATAGCATGGGTAACATTCTACAGATTACCATATGATATTACATGGGTAATATACTACAGGTTACTATATAATATTACATGGGTAATATACTACAGATTACTATATGATATTACATGGGTAATATACTACAGATGGAGCCCCCGGTGGCGCAGTGGGTTAAACCACTGAGCTGCTAAGCTTGTTGACCGAAAGGTCGCAGGTTTGAATCCGGGGAGCGGCGTGAGCTTCCGCTGTCAGCCCCAGGTTGTCAACATGCAAATGTGAGTAGATCAATAGGTACCGCTCCGGCAGGAAGATAACAGCGCTCCATGCAATCATGCCGGCCACATGACCTTGGAGGTGTTTACGGACAACACCGGCTCTTTGGCTTAGAAATGGAGATGAGCACCACACCCCAGAGTCTGACACAACTGGACTTAATGTCAGGGGAATACCTTTACCTATACTACTGATTACTACAGATTACATGGTTAATATACTACAGATTACTATAGGATATTACATAGGTAATATAKTTCAGATTACTATATAATATCACATGGTTAATATACTACAGATTACTATAGGATATTACATAGGTAATATACTTCAGATTACTATATAATATCACATGGTTAATATACTACAAATTACTATAGGATATTACATAGGTAATATACTTCAGATTACTATATAGTATCACATGGTTAATATACTACAGATTACTATAGGATATTACATAGGTAGGTAATATACTTCAGATTACTATATAATATTACATGGTCAATATACTACAGATCACTATATTACATGGCTAATATACTACATATTACTATACGGTGTTACATAGGTAATATAATACATATTACTATATAATATTACATGGGTAACAGATCGAATAATGTAGCCCAAACTGCATTACATGGCAGACTAATAGAAAGGAGGGGGGGGCAGCCTACAATCTCCTCACCTGCGAGAGCTGCCGGGGGTTGGGGCAGCCGAAGAGCGCGGAGCTGGAGCTGAAGCTGATGGCCCCTCGGCGGCTGAGGACGTGCTGCGGGACCGGCCGGTCCAGGGGCAGCACGGGCAGCTGGTAACATACTTCCATGGGTGAAACGGAGAGGCGCCACCGCCGCCGCCGCCACCTCGCCTCCTGGGGTGCCCGCGAAAAGCCAGGCCCAGGCCCCCGCTGCTCTCACCTGCCCGTCCCCCAGGCCCGGAGGGGAAGAGGAAGCCCGGCGGAGAGAGGGAAGGAGAAGCCCCGTCCCCGCCTTGCTTGCTTGCTCGTTCGCTTCCCTCCCTCCCTCAGAGGATACAAAGCCCAGCGAAGGCTGTGAGGGGAGACTCGGGAGAGGCGAAGAAGGAGCAGCAGCAGCTCCCCATTGGGGCCCAGGTGGCTGCGCTCTCCAACTGCGTCGCCGGGGCTCAACTTGCGCGAGACACCGCTCGGCTGCTGCGGCAGCGCCGCTATTGTCCGGCACGAGGCGGGCGAGCGGGCGAGGGCGAGCGCGAGCGCGCAAAGTGGGCGGAGCCTGCAGTGGCGGTTGGTGCTGGCGATAGTATTAGAGGGGGAGGGGAAGAGAGAGAGAGAGAAGAGGATGCGGTTGAGGTGATGATGATGAGCGGAAGCGCCGGAAGCTAAAAGAGAAGGGGAGGGGGGAGAAAGCAATGTGGGAAGAGCCGCGCGTACAAAAGCCTGCCTGCCCTCCCGCCGCTGCCCTTACAAACGCTTATATGACACCCTCCCTCTTTCTTTCTTTCGCCTCGGTTGGTGGGGGCTGCTTGTGGGCGTGGCCATACGCGGTGGGAGCGCACGACGTAGCCGTACGTCATGACGTCACTCCATACCTCCCCCTATTTATTTATTTATTTTGTGTGTGTAAAGGGAAGTGAAAGACTGAGGCGGGGTAAAAATGCGGCAGTCTGTGTTTAAGAAAAAAAAAGAAGAAGAGACATTGTCGCAAGGTTTTAAAAGCTTGTATTGTCGAAGGCTTTCATGGCTGGAATCACTGAGTTGTTGTAGGTTTTTTCAGGCCATGTTCTAGAAGCATTCTCTCCTGACATTTCGCCTGCATCCTCAGAGGTAGTGAGGTCTGTTGGAACTAGGAAAATGGGTTTATATATGAAACATTCACACCTAGCTCCAGCAGACAAGAGTCCTTTGTCATTCCACAGATATATAAACCCATTTTCCTACTTCCAACAGACCTCACTACCTCTGAGGATGCTTGCCATAGATGCAGGCGAAACGGCAGGAGAGAATGCCTCTAGAACATGGCCATAAAGCCCGGAAAAAAACCTACAACAACCCTGTTTTAAAAGCTTCCTTTTTTATTATTACGCAGCGTACTAAAGGAGCTTTGGGGTTTCTTTATTTTTGTCTCCCTGCCAACGCCCCAGCCCTTTTCACTTTCAACCCGTGTCTTGCAGCAGTCTTTTCTGTTCCAGTTACTTCCTTTGTAATCCTATGCGTTTGCACGCTTAATTAACGGTCAGCCCCATTTTCCTTTGGGGCGACGCCCAAATAATAAGGCGTAGGAATGCAGCATTAGGCTCAAGGTAATGGGAACTGCAACGAAGGCTTGTGTCTGAAGCAATGCATAGGGTTGTGTTGTTGAAGGCCTTCATGGCCGGAATCACTAGGTTGTTGTTAAGTTTTTCAGGCTGTATGGCCATGTTCCAGAAGCATTCTCTCCTGACGTTTCCCCTGCATCTATGGCAGGAATCCTCAGAAGTTGAGGGGTCTGTGGGAAACTAAAAAATGGGGTTTATATATGAGCAGGGTCGGCTCAACCCATTACGCAAAGTAAGCATTTGCAGTATAGTTGATTTTGCCCAGGGGTGCTCTTGAGGCACTCTTGGGGGAAAATAGACCTTGCCATATGCGAGTTCTAGTTACTGGGATGTATAGTTCACCTACTATCAAAGAGCATTCTGAATTCCACCAATGACGGAATTGAACCAAATATGGCACACAGAACTCCCACGACGAACAGAATATATATATCAGTGATTGGTTGGGGAGGGGGAGGGGGCGTGGGCGGCACCAAAATACTGTTTGCTTACCATTGAAAATTACCTAGGGCCGCCTCTGTATATGAGGGTGTGAAAAAGAACTCTTGTCTGTTGGTGGTAGGTGTAATAAAGACAGGGGAGCTCCAGAAAATAAACAATCAGAGGCAGCTAATCACCTCTTAACAAAGGATCACCCCAGGAGTAAGAAGTCACCCTTAAAAACTGCTAGGCCATTAAATGCTAATCAAGGTGGCCAATTGAAACATTCACACCTACCTCCAATAGAAAAGTTCTTTCTCCCAATCTGGTCATTCCAGAGAAGTATTCTCTCCTGGCGTTTTGCCTGCATCTGTGGCAGGCATCCTCAGAGGTTGTGAGGTCTGTTGGAAGCTAGGAAAATGGAGTTTATATATGAGGATGTGAGAAAGAACTCTTCTCTGTTGGTGGTAGGTGTAATAAAGACAGGGGAGCTCCAGACAAGAAACAATCAGGGACAGCTAATCATCTCCCTACAAAGGATTCCACCAGGCTGTAAGAAGTCACCCTTAAAAACTGCTAGGCCATTAAATGCTAATCAAGGTGACCAGGTACAACATTCACACCTACCTCCAACAGACAAGAGTTCTTTCTCCCACACTGGACATTCCACAGATATATAAACCCCACTTGCTTTGTTTCCAACATACCTCGCAACCTCTTAGGATGCCTGTCATAAATATGGGCAAAACATCAGGAGAGAATGCTTCTGGAACATGGCCATACAGCCCAGAAAATTTACAGCAACCCAATGCATAGGGTTGTCTTTAAAGTCAGGCCTTTTACAAGATCCACTGTGTGCCTCCTCTTGTTGAAGACACTTTCCAAAGCACCATTTTTGTGTGTTGTCTAAGGCTTTCATGGCCAGAATCTAAACTCTAAAATCAAGATAGTAAATAAAGAGGAACACTCAAATAATGGGAATTCCTGACATGAACAATCAGGGTCCCAACAAAGGATTCCCCCAGGCAGAAATCAGTCAGGCTTTGAAGCAGCAAGGCCATTCAATGCTAATCAAGGTAACGAGTTGCAACATTCACACAAACTCCAAGCAGACAAGAATTCTTTCTCCCACTCTGGGCATTTCACAGATATATAAACCCCATTTTCCTAGTTTCCAACAGACCTCACAACCTCAGAGAATGCCTACTATAGATAAGGGCAAAGCATCAGGAAAGAATGCTTCTGGAACATGGCCATACAGCCCAGAAAACTCACAGCAACCCACCATTTTTGTGTTCCCACGCAAAAAAAAAAAAAGATTTAAAAAGCAAAAAACATACAATAAAAAAGATGCCGTTTCTTCTCAAATTTACTTTAGGACCTAAACTATGGAGGATCTAAGTTGGTTTTAAAGCATGACTTTTATCATTGTCAATCTGATGTTTTCTAAGTAAATCATCTGATTGTGATATCAGTAATATAATAACATTAAGAGCTTCCTGCACTACGCATTCCAGTTTATGTACAAGTCAGAGGCCTTAATACCGTAAAGGCAGTGGATACCATCTGACCTTGGAAATTAAACAGGGCCAGACCTGGTTAGCAGTTGGATAGGAGGCTGTCAAAGAATACTAAGGGTACCCTTGGCTCTATTTTATTTATATTTATTATTTATTTACTCCTTTTGTATACCGCATTTATCAGCCTTACGGCGACTCAATGCGGTTTACAATAAAAATATACAACACTGACAATATATAAAACAGACATACACAGACGACACACATATAGTCATCAACGCCTCAAATAGAATCAGATCCCGTTCTCACAGTCGTTTTACCGTTCCTTGTTCATTATGCCGTCTTCCTGAGTTAGTTGTAATTGCATGATTAACTGAACGCCTGTTCAAAGAGCCACGTCTTCACCCTCCTCCGAAACGCCAGTAACGAAGGGGCCTGCCTGATGTCCGCTGGTAGGGCATTCCATAGCCGAGGGGCCACCACCGAGAAGGCCCTGTCTCTCGTCCCCGCCAACCGCACTTGTGATGCTGGCGGGACCGAGAGCAGGGCCTCCCCGGACGATCTTAACGTCCTTGCCGGTTCATAGGTGGAGATGCGTTCGGAGAGGTAAGTGGGGCCGGAACCGTGTAGGGCTTTATAGGCTAAAGCCAGCACCTTGAATTGTGCCCAGAGGAAAGAAGTGGCAAAAACACTTCTGAGTATTCCCTGCTTTAGGAAACTGCAAAATGCATGGGGTCACAGTAAGTGACAGGCAACTTCAAGGCATATATGCACTGCAGATCTGCACGCAAGGAAGGGGCAGGAGGTCAGGGATGGCTCTCCTTCCCTGTTTGTCCAGAGGCCGGTTGTGATGGTCTTGTTTGCTCCTGGAGATAAAACATTCTTCTGAGAGGCTAGCCTTAAGCAACCCCAGACAATGGTCACACTGTCTGTTTGTTTTGAAGTATAAGCTGCCTTGCGTCACAGTTTTGTGGGGAAAGAGGGATATAAATCAAGATTCCTTTCCTGATTTGCACGTGCAAATGCAATGAGGGGATGACTAAGTCAAAAGCTGCATCTACACTGTAGAATGAATGCGGTTTGGCAGCACTCTTAACTGCTATGGCTCAATGATATCAAATAATGGGAGTTGTCATTTTACAATATCTTTTTGGCTTCTCTGCCAGTGTGTTCTGGTGCCTTGCCAAACTACAGCTCCCTTGATTCCATCATATGGAGTCATGGAAGTTCATGTGGTGTCTTAACGGCATGAGCAAACAGTATAGATCAGGCCATCTAGGTGTTTGGGACTTAAAACATCCATTATTCCTAATAGCCAGTAGGCTATTTGGAATTGTGGGAGTGTAGATGCAGCCTAAAAGGCAATAACAGTGGTACTGTTTGTCATTACTTCAAAGAAAAGAGCACTAATAAAGTGCTTCTGAATACCCTTTACCTAAAACCTGGGTGATGAGACAATCCAAAATGAAGCAAGAGAGAGCACTGGAAGATGAGATCTCCAGATGAGAAGGCACCCAGCCAGCTACAGTGGAAGATCAAAAGGCCCTTTCAAGTGGGAGTCGAAGTGATGCGTCTAATGGTGCAACTGGACTCCATTTGATACTCAAATATGCAAATAAGTGTGAAACTAGATGGAGATGGGACATTTTCTGTAAATAGTGCTACTCTAAAAATGGCAATATAAAAAGGAGGGTGACATTAATAATGAGGCATGATGTAACAAATGTAGTTGGTATGCAATACAAAGTATAACCAAATCATATACATAATTAATAGTTGTATCAATATAATCACGATTCAGATTCCAACTACAGAGGCAGAAGGAGAGAAAAATGGAAACATTCTCTACAGCTGTACAAAACATATAAAAAGAACATGCTGATAATTACAGATGGCTAGAATTTAAATGTTAAAAATGGTATAGAGACATAGATCATGCTTTACATCCACAAAAGTTACTAGAGTACAAAAGTTTCAAAAGAAAATCTGCATTTTACAGATTTGGGGTGGGAGGCTTTGGTTTTGTACATCCTGAAAAACTATAGTAAAGGTAAAGGTTTCCCCTGACATTAAATCTAGTAGTGTTTGACTCTGGGAAGTGATGCTCATCTCTATTAATAAGCTGAAGAGCCAGCGTCCGTTGATGCCTCTAAGGTCATGTGGCCAGCATGACTGCATGGAGCACCTTTACCTTCCCGCAGAAATTGTACCTACTGATCTACTCACACTTGCATGTTTTCGAACTGCTAGGTTGGCAGAAGATGGGCCTAACAATGGGAGCT